GCCCAACATTCCGTGGAAGCATATAAACTGCCATCCTTACTGGATCAGTGCATTGGGCTGTGTGGTCTGGGGGGCAGTAATATAGATGCTTTGAGGAAGGTATAAAATCTTTAAAAGGTAGTTATGCAGAGACATGCCTTAAAGCAAGCTGTTGCTTACCCCTCATTGGTCTCTTTCCTGAAGCAGGCAGACCTTCTGTTCCTTCACCCTTAGTTACCTTTTTAATCGCTAATACTACACAGCTGGATAGCCATAGCCGTGTAAATGGTCATTCCTCTTGAACGGGCTAAATTCCTGAGTTTTCAACAGTACCTAAGGGACTTAGATGTGCAGTTCCCATTGGAAATTCAGTAGGGGTGGGACACTTAACTCCGTAATGTTCTCTGAAAATCCTGCCAACGCTCCAGTTGGGTTTCCCTCAGTTTCAAATTTGCTACCTGAAAAGTAAGGGTTGATCTTAATCCAAGCAGGACATCTTGCAAAACAGGTCTCAACATTCAGGCTTGACTTTGTTTTTTTTGTAGATGCCAAAGTTCAAAGCACTCCCCCTGCCTCATTTTGACCACATCAACTTGCCAGAAAAAAAGGTGAAGAACCCAACCCAACCAGAACCCTTCCATCTGCAAACAGACGAACGGGGAGCAACTAAGTTGCAGAATTGGCAGCATCAGGTAGGACTAGTGGAGCGGCAACTGTCTCTCTCCAAGGTTTAGTCACATGGTAGTATACTGGTAATAGTTGGCCCAGTGAATTATCCTGCCTTCAGTGCAAGTCTTTACAGACCTTTGGTATTGTAAAGAGCCCCCTGGAATTGCTGTCTCCCTGGATGGCTGTGAGAGGCTGGAGTGCTCCTGTGGTCTTTGTTGGAAGTACAAGTGCTGGCTGTACTAAAACTGACCACTTGCGTCTGAAGCTGTTCTCCAGCCAGCTCACTGTACAAATACCACAAACTGCTTGGCGGCTTTTGGGTTTCAACTCTCCATATTCAGATGCAGAACTGTCTGCCTGAAGTCTAACCTTTGTTCTCAGTGCAGCAGGGAGTGGGGTGTATCTCAGTTACTCAGCTCCTGATGGGACCCCTCTTTCTCCCTGCAGGTCGAAGAAGACCTGAAACGGCAGAAAGAGGCAGCATGTTTCAAAGCGAATCCAAACACTGTTGTGCACCAGGAGCCTTTTGTACCAAAGAAGGATGTCAAGCCAATATCAGGTGGAGTTGCATGAACTCACTGTGCTGGCTTGCTGGCAATCCAGGGCTAACGCAGTTCAACAGCCCCTATGCACCGGGAAAACCTCAGACGCCTTTTTAGTATCAACGTCACTAGTCATGCTTGTGCAATACTTAGTCAACAAATCCTCTGAGTCCAGAGGGGAGGGGGGTTGCTTCCTCTTCTGCTCTAACATGGCAGCTGCGTTAACAGCTTTGCAGTTGGCAGATAATGGTTACTAGTTTGGGATAAGGGTAGGGAGCATACAAGGAGCTCCCTGTGGAGACAGCTGACACTTCCGTAGCAGCTGCCAGCCTTCCCTTTCCCTTTATGGGGGTGGTTGGGGGGGGGGGGGGGGGGCAAGGCTGAGTTTCTGGGAACTGGAGCTTTGTCTTCTCGCTAACATACAATCGTCCCCTTTAAAAGCCTGTTTGTAAACAAGTCTTCCAAGAAGCGCCCTAGACCAGGGGTTCCCAAACTGATGTTCATGCCTGGGGCTATGCAAGACGTCTCTGGGGTGGAAGAGAAATGGGGTACAGCAGATTGTGTTTGTGCATTTTCACACTAGGGTTTCTGGGAACTGGAGCTTTGTCTTCTCGCTAACATACAATCGTCCCCTTTAAAAGCCTGTTTGTAAACAAGTCTTCCAAGAAGCGCCCTAGACCAGGGGTTCCCAAACTGATGTTCATGCCTGGGGCTATGCAAGACGTCTCTGGGGTGGAAGAGAAATGGGGTACAGCAGATTGTGTTTGTGCATTTTCACACTAGGCAGGTCTGCTAAATCTTTACTTCTGTGGGAATTTGTTGTATAAACTGGTAGTGTACTAGGACAGAGCCATCCTTTCCAATCACTGTAAAGCATGGTTCAGTTGAAATACGGACAGATGGCTGACAGGTAGCTTTTAAGAACACAAAGTATCGGTGAAGCAGCTGTGGGTAGCAAAGTTTGGGAACCTCTGTCCAGACTGATCACCTACATTCATTGCCCCATTGTTGATTGGACTCTGTATCAGCATCCCAAATGCACATAAGCGTCTCTTCCTTAATCCTAAGCGCTTCCACTAATCTACTTAAAGCATGGACCTCTAGAGAGGCCGCTTCCGTCTAACCCTGATGTAGTTGTGCTTGGATGACTGTTGCACCAACGTTCCCTGTGTTTCTAAACTTAGAGAGCCTTTCTGGTTCCGTAGTTCCCGAAAGATTTGAATTGGCAACAGAGAAAAGAGCAAAGGACCGCCAAGAATTTGAAAAGCACCTGGCCAAGTTGGAAACTGAAAGAGAGAGGCTTCAGAAGAAGGCCCAGCAGCAGGAAGCCGAACAGGAGAAGAAAGAACTTGCCAAGCTGAGACAAGAACTGGTAAGTGGGCGGGCTAGTCAGTCAGGGCCAGAGCACTGACTGGGCCTATGAACTTATGTCTTAGGCATGCAGCAGCCAACCGCAGCGCTGGGTTGGGCCCAGTGCCCCACTGGGCTAAAAGCCATTCCTCCTTGGGATGTTCCTGATCCTTGTGCCGCTTGAGAGCTACCTGGCAATCAGCACTTAAGGCACCTATGGTACATGTGTACAGCTTGAATTGAAGAGCAAAACACAAGCCTGTTCTAAACATGCACCCGCTGTTGCTTAGGGTGTAGTACATCTTCCACTAGCAGCACAGTCGTTACTTGTTAGCTCCCAAACACATCCCAGATTTCATCAGATGGCAGCTGCACTATACTCTAACTGAGTGTGTGTAAGCCCCATAGTAACTGACCATTCTGTCCTTTTTGTCTCTGGAGGTACACAAGGCCAACCCAGTTCGTAAGTACCGCAGTCAGGACACGAAGCCAAGTGACCGGCCTCTCACCATGCCAAAGTCTCCGAACTTTTCAGACCGATTTCGATGCTGAGATGCACCAACGTGTAGATAGGAGCAATCTCTTCCCAGTGTCCTGGGTGCAGAGGCAGATATTTTTTCCTTTTAACTTGGAACTCTTAATGTCAGATTCCATTACTTTATATTAAGTAGTGTTAACCATTTCATGGAGGCAAATGGCTGAAATGTGCTCTGGATGGAGATCACCAGTCATGTGGCTTCACGCAACATGTAGAAATCTTAATTTTAAAGACTGAGTCATGTTTTGATAGTATACCCGAATAAACTATTTTGCACACATTAATAAAAGGGTTTTGCTCTTGGGTATTCTCTTTTTGTGGAAGAGGTTCAGATGCCTTGGATTCAGTTGGTACACACCAGTCAGATGTAGATTCTGGAAAATGAGGTGGCTATGGTGGCTTTAAAAAATACTTCATTGCCAGCTGTGAGCTTCAGTATGAATGATTCAATGATGCCTTGGTTTGCAGACCCTGAAACTGTAGCTGAGGTATGAACTGCCCCATTCATTTCAGTGGGTGCTCAGTCAGATGCTTAAAGGGCAAGACTTAGAGCAAACAGTTAGCAAAGCAATGAGGGGGAGGATCATAGTGTATATCTCAATCTACTATGAGACTGCCTTCTCATGCACTTGGGAGTAATACCAGCTAGACAGAACTGTCATGTCTTGAAAAGCAAGAAGCTCAAGGGATGTCAAAAGTAGTTTCAGCAAGTAGCAGTAAGCAGCCAACAATGTGTATGGGGATGCTTGTCTATTCTGCCCAGATGTAAAATCACTAACAGGCTGCCTCAGAGGAGCCTATAGCCTTCTGGAACTTCACCTCTTTTTGGGTGATCTTCAAAGGAGCAAAAGATGCTTCGGACAATCCCCAGTAGACATCTCCCTGTGCATAGGGAGACTAAATAGACAGCTGGAAGACCACAGTTTTGGCAATGGCATACTCTGAAGCAAAGACGAGTGAATCCAGCACAAATAGCATCTTCAGAGCTGTGGAATGCAAAGGTAGGTGTCTCTGGTTTGTAGTCTTTGATTTGCTATGACTTTAGAAATAGGCCAAGTCATAGTGCCTGAGTAGCTGTGAAGGACCAGTTAACCTTTCCTTTCTGTTGCTAGAAGAGCTAGGATGTCCACCAGCAGATACTTGCACTCCACCTTCCCTAGTTCTGCACACGTTGACTAGTTAATGCTGTAGTGCTAACCGGGGCTGAAATCAGACTTGAGTCACTCTGGGAAGTCTTGGTATATCTTGCTGGTAATCCATTCAGTCTTGGCTATCGAATGTTCAGAGCATTTGGGACGCTTCCTTATAATTCCACCTTCCTAATAATTTCAGACCGACACTTGATCTTGCCCAGTAGCATTGCATAGCTCTGCATGATATTTCCACGATGCCTGGATTTTTTTCCCTCCTTTCACCTTTGCCTTAATGGTATCTGTCACAATATGTTCATAGCTTGTCTGGGGAAATCCTTAGTGCTGATAGAAACGGTTCAGGAGCTGTTGACTACAGTGCCTGCCTGACTTGGCTGAGAAACGCAGCTATCTTAAGTTACAGCTTAGGGGCTAGAATTCAGGTAGGGAAGCTGTTCTCATTCTGAATCTCAACACCATCTGCCTTGCAGCCTGCTGCAACACTCAATTTAGACAAGGTATAAGGTTTCCTGGAGGACAGACTGGCTGTGTGGAGTTTCTCAGGCCTATGAAAAGAGTATAAAGGTTAAAGTGTGTGGTGCTTAGAGCTGTGACGCTCATGTAGCTAGGGAACTGGCGTGCTTGAGGTCTTGCCAAGTATCCCAGGACACTTTGTTTTCCAACCAGAGCCAATGTGGATCCTGGCTCAAGTTCCTGAGTGGAAAAACACTTGGCATTTTCTTGGTTGCTTCCTGCTGTCAAGAGCAACCTGGAGAACAGTTAAAAACATTGGATGTGGCTTGTCGGTCTTAAACTTGGACTCTACATGACCACTATCCCAAGTGCCTGCAATCTGTTTCTAGAACAAAATCCAGCAAGCACTCACCTTGGGTGGGTATTACTGCCCCCATCTCTGCAGTAACTCTCAAAGTCTAAAGAGAACCCCTTTCACTTCTTACTCATGTAAGCTAGCTAGCAGTAAAGGCTTTACTTTCTCGCATAATTCAAAGGCTCCATCCTGTAACCTAATCCTTGCTGGCCTGGACATCTTTGTCTGGTACTGAAAGATGACTGCATTACTGGCTCTGTGTGCACTTTCCCGGAGCCTACTTAAACAGTCGAACAACTCAGTCTCTTAAATCCCTCCAGCTGAAGATGAGTAGAATGGAACAGCCATGGGTTCATGCATGCTATGCTATGAAAAGCAGACTCTTCACTATTCCAGTGGGAGTTTGGGGCAGTGACCAAGCAGGACATTGCGGGAGGGGGGCGGCAGGCGAGATACTGCAGTATGAGCCTTGAGGTTTGGCTTCTAGATATCCTGCCGGCTGCTCCTAAGGAAGGAGAGAACATAACTGCATATTGATCAGACGCTATCATTGGCTTAAATGTGCTGCAAAGCCAACCAGTCCCCTGAGCACAATTTCCTGCTTGCTTGCCTCTCTACTTGCCTCTTGTATAATCTGAGGGTTATGAGTGACCTGGACTTCTGGTCAATTGACAGCATAGTTGCCATTCCTAAGCTCATACAAACTTAACTGTCTAGTCCCATGTGTGCAACAGGATCCATTGATGAAAGCTAAATTTCTGCCTCATGTATAATTGAATTACCACCTTGAGTAACCTTCTATAAGTGGCAAGAGCTGTCCATTCAGGAGCTTATAAATGAAGCTGTTAAGCAGGAACAGATCTGACTGTCACCTATAACTTCCGTGTTCTTCAACAACCTTCTTTCTGCAATAAGATGTCCCGGTCCTCAAATAGAGGTGTTCAGTTTCCACTGAAATCAGTGGCGCTTAGGAGCACAAATACCATAAGGATCTGTGGTTTATTTCTCCTTCTTGCTAGGACAACTCTGCCTGTTGGAAAGGGCAGCCAGGATTGTGGAAACAAAGATGTGAACTAACTGCACCTCATTTGGTTTTTATTAGCTTTTGAGCTTCATGATCCCTCAGATGTAACCACTACTAATTTTGTGCCAATTGCTTTGGCATAGATGTTCACCTGGTGTCTTTATCCACCTACAAGTGATGCCAAAAGCTAGAGCTGAAGCGGAGAGGCCAGGTCTACATGAGACCCGGAAGGTCGGCTTAAGGTACACAACTCCAGCTATGTAAAACACGTAGCTGGAGTCAGCTTACCTTGAGCTGAGCTTGGCACAGTCCTCTCAGTGGGAGGCTGACAGGAACAAACTTTCTTGTTGGCTTTCTTTATTCTTTGCAACTGCAAGGAAGATGAGCACTGACAGCCACCCTCAGCATTTGATTTAGCAGGTCTTAACTGGACCCACTAAATCGAACACCAGAAGATGGATCTCCAGTGCAGCAAGTGAACACAGCCTGAGTCATCACCTCCTTCCTTGCTGCTGCAGCCTGGTTCTTGCAGGCAGTTCTTCAGGTTCATTTTTAAAACAGTGCTACCATTGCTTCGGCTGAGACTCGCTATCAGCAACTACCTTTTCTTTCCTATCTTCTCCTGTTAGCCCAAACTTTCCTTAACTTCCATTCTCCATGTGCTGCTAGGCTGCAGATAAGTTCACCAGCACTCTGGTGAGGAAGTTGTGGGAACTAATCCTGGGGTTGTGAGGATATCAAGTGGCTTCCCACATCCCTTCCCACTGAAAGGAATTGCTGCATCACAATAGCGGCCAGTACGGGAGCATCCTGTTACAGAACGGTTCCTAGTCCCCTGTTCCTATAATGCAGGGTCATAGGAGTTGGCCACCAGTTTTTTGGAAGGTACTTTGAACAGCTCTGGCAGGCAGCAAAAGTACTGTGGATGGACAACTCTTGACACCTTCCAGGCAAAGTGGCCTAGGTTAAGCACAGTATACAAGTTGCATGAGATTGTCTCTACAGCTGCTATGGACCAGCCCTACCTGTCACCTGGATTCGGGTGGGCTTTTGGTGTCTGCTTACACTTGGCTTTTCCTTTTAAACTAGTTTGTCATCAAAACAGTCTGCAGATTTGTTCTGGTCCCAGAAGCTCAGGACCGACCTCCCTGGAAACCCTAGGTCCTAGGCTAGGTTTGACACGTGCTGGGCGCAGAATCATAAGGCCAAAAACAGGATTGAGAGCACAGGGAGAGATTGTGGGATATTTCCTGATTGCCTTAAGGCAGTGTTGCTCTAGTGGTGCCATGGACCCATTTTGAGAGAGCTGCTAAGGGACTGCTTTGGTTATACAGCTCTGCTGCCACAAGGCATCCACTCCCCCGGCTGCAAAGTAAACTGGAGTAGCCTGTTGGCAGCTTTCTCAAAGTGGGCCCACAGCCCACCTGGAGCAACACTGCCTAAGGTGCAGGTAGAAGTATAGGGCTCATCACAGGGCAGGTTTGCATCAAGCCAACAGTGTGAATTGAAACCACCTGGATGACTTTGGTGCCAGTCTGTGTGAGCCATTATTTTAGAATTAAACCCATCACAATGAGGCATTCTCAAGCCAGAGTTGGGTCATGAGACTCTAATTTGGGGGGGAAGGGGGCACGCATTGTGATGTGTAAGCCTCCACCTCTTTCTAACACTGATCATGGTGCTGAATGTCTTTTTTAATATGATGGTTGTACCGGTGAGCAAGCCACCGAGCACAAGGGTTTGACAACTGTTTCAGCAAAATTCACTGGAGCCCTGTTCAGTCGGAACTGTGTCCCCCTGCCCAGACTTCACCAAGGCCAGACTCTGGTTTAGCTAAACGAGGTCCCTTCCAGTTGTAGTTTAAAAAAAAAAATTAGAGGACAGGGCTGGGCTGTCTTGAGGCATGATCCTGCAAGCACCCACATGGCCCTCTTTGAAGGGAATGGTTGTGCTGAGCCCAGTAAGCCTCAGTTAATGGAGGAAGGCTTTTTAGTCATCAAGCCTGGTGCCAACAACCTCAAAACTGGCTCCCTTCCCTCCCAGCACTCTGAGCTGAGCAGGGCTGACTTGCTTGCCCTGTGGCCCAAGCAGGCTGCAGCTTTTCTCCCCTGCTCGAAGCAGGGCAAATGCAGCAGCCTGTTCAACCTCAGTGTCAATAATTATGGTCCGCTTTTTAGCACCCAATTTTGAAGTTGAGGGTGCAGGTTTCTGCACATCTCCCCCCACCACTAGGGTGGCTACCATCGACTTTGTCCGCTGCACAGGGGATAGCTATCCCATAGTTCCTACCACCCCCTTTGCATTCTGGGTTATGCTCCTA